GAAGGAGGTGAGCGAGGTCGACGAGGGCCATCGAACACTCATTCGTTCGCTTCTTCGCCGCTGGGTGTCCCTTAAGGTGCGACATCACCAACGACGACGATGACGACGACGGTCGGAGGGTGCCCTCTTGTGCACCCGCGTACGCGCGCGCGAGCGCGCGCGAAAGCAGGAGCTCACCTTTCTTTCGTTTTCGTCTCTTTTGCTCCTTTTTCCCCTTACGTCTCTCGCGTTTTATCCGGTCGTGTTTCTCTTACTCCTCTCTTTTTGGTCCCTTTCTCTCTTTCTCTCTCGCTGTTTTTCGTCCCTCATCGTATCCCGACCGGCGTCACCGCCATTACCAGCCGCCCCCCCCGGCTTTCTCTCCCTCTTACTTTCTTTTTCTCATACTCACGCCGCCGCGGCCGGTCGCTTGGACAGCCGTGCGCTCGCCAGCACGGTCTCACGGGTGTGAGAAATCGTCGACGAGACCGGCCGGCCGACCGACCAACCAATAGACCGTTTCTCTCTTTTTTTTTTTTTATGTGAACGACGATGACCGATAGGGGTGATCAGCGTCTAGCATAGTATATCGTAACGGCGCGGGCGTGCGTGCGTGTACGCACTCATGTGTGTCACGTGCGCACCTACATACGCGTTCACTCCGCTCGTGACCGAAGGCAATGTCGAAATTTTGTCGGGTGTATCGACCGTTCGCCAGTCGTAGCCGTGTTCTTTTTACTAGATCGAGAACGAGGTCGTTCTCGATTGCATCATAATAGGCGGTTGATAGAACTAATAGAAGGCACGCGGAAATCAACGCCTATATACAAATACGGGTTGATTCTATGATTTCGTCACTGTTCGTTTTCCCTTGGTTCACTCCCCTGACGTTCGAAATATTTCAATATATTTTTCATATTATATGTATGATGATTTTAAATAATGTATTTTTTGGCAATGTCTATTATTTTGTTGAAAAATAATTCGAGATGTAATTAAAGACGCAGAATAACAAATAATTATTTAACTTGTTTGTTACTAAGAGTTAAGTTCGTAAACTTTACACGGGTAGATTTTTGTTTTTGTATTGTATAATATTATATTTTGAATTTAAATATCTTAACCTTTTAAGATATTTACATAATTATAAAAATTACATAATTATAAAAGTTTTATATTTATATAGAAAAAATTAATTTTTTATTGGGGAACTAAATGCATATTGTCCATAAAATAATCTTGAATTCTCTCTCCTAAAATCACTATTAATCATTAATTTTTGAAAGAACAAATGAAAGGAACAAATGGAAACGTCAATGTGATGTAATGATCTGACATAAAATGAATGATACTTATTTTATGAGAACTTTCTTAGAAGACGAGAAGATAAATAATCTATATTTAACACTATATAGAAATATCAAGCGAAAGATCATTATTGACCGTTTCTATTTTCAATATTATATTCATTTATAGTTATATAAAAGATAGAATTCTAAAACTTTTTTACTTCTCAATTATTATGTCCTTTATATTAATAAAAATTTAATTTTTCATTATTTTTTAAAATTTTGTAGTAACTTTGCGCTTTTTGATGAATAAAAAACAAAAGTTGGTACTTCCAGCGTTAAAATTTTACAATTAACGAGTTAAAGTCGTTATATATATTTGATTAAATATTTGAAATATATTATTATTTTTTTTCATTTTTACGCAGAAATACAGAATTATCTAAAAAAGCTAGAAAATAATTTTGTTGGACCATCAAAATAATTATGTAGAACGCTCAAACTGATTGCTAGAATAAAACTTTTAACATTGCTCATCTCTCTCTCTCTCTCTCTCTCTCTCTCATGCTTGAAATTTCTATGTAATTCACTTCAGTAATACTCAATTCGTTCCATGTATTCTACTTTAAATAAATTAGAGAATTCTTTACGTTATAATTCTGTCTGAAACCAAAAGCAAACAATATTTATTTTCCAAAATTTCGAAGTGAATTATCCTGCAAATTGTTGGAACATGATCTTCACTAACGCAACGATTGCATTTCACTGCATAATACGTGAGTGCAATATTTAAGAACGGTGCGATCGGACGTTCCGCGCGCGAATTAATCGAGTAACTTGATCTACGACGCATTAATCTTGAACTGAAGCAGTATCGATCGATCGACGCGCCGGTGGGGACCGAAATAACGAGCCGATATAATTTCAAGCGTAATTTCATCCTCTACTGAGCGCGATGCGATGCGATGCGATGCGATGCGCGCGCGAATTAACAGGATCGATTGTAATGCCTCGTTGTTATGACTAACTCAATCAAATTACACGCACTTAAACGCTCGCATTAAGTCGATTTTCCGTTTGACCCTTCGGGACTTGTCCGTTCACAAACTTTTTCGCTATGCTATTTGCATGGTGAAAAGTATCCATCCCGAAACAATGTTAGCGAAACAATGTTAGCGAGCGATTCATTGTTTCCGCATGCCTGCCCACCGATGCGTTTTAATAACTGCGATGGAAATTTATCTTACGCACTTTTTATGAATTCGATCATTAAATTTGTAATTAGACGAGAAACGGTTCAAAATAAAGTTGCATGTTTCGATGGTACACGTAGAATTTCATAAATAATTATTATTAAACCGCAAATGTTCGCTAATCCTATTACTTAGCCTAGATTCATTTCGAAATCTTGAAAATATCAATGTTAAAAAGTAACTTTGCAATTTTGTCATTTTTGTCTGTATAAACCAATCATATTAAGAATCTTCCGACAACTACAAAGTTATTTTTTCTACTATAAAATGAGTTATTAAAAATAATTTTTTATCGTAATGGTTTATATGCAGCATGATTAGTTTTAAAATCGATTTATTACCGGTTTTATTATTATCCATTGAATATCGATTCAATTCGCGAATTATCGTGTGATAGTAAAAATCGGAAAATAAATCATAATTGAAGTCATTTTCGCAGTCTATAAAAACAATGTATTGCCTCTATATGGATATTTATCATTTATTATTTTTGTTTTAACAAATTATGATCGGTGCAGCATTGGAAATCGAGACGTCCTCGGGTGCATCGTGCATTCAGGATCGTCCAGGGAAGAGAGGGGGGAGGGGGGGAGGGGAGAGAGAGAGAGAGAGAGAGCGCGTTCGCCGGGGCGAGCGAACGCGCGGAACGCGGATGATTTTTGCGTCGTGCGACGACACGCCGGGCTAATCAGCCGGTGGATCAGCACCCGCAATACACACACATACGGTGCAGTGTCTGGTGGCGTGGTGGACGTGTCGCGTGGGAGCGAGACGAGGAGAGAAACAAAGTGCAAGCGAGAAAGAGAGTGTACGGGGTGGTGAGACTCGACTGGCTCTCCTCGTCGTACGGGGAGACGAGACGAGACGCGACGCGGCACGACGCTTCGTGAGAAGAGGAGCGAGGGGAGGAGGAGGAGGTAAATGCGGCCACTGCGCCGCCGACGGCGGTGGTGGCGGCGGCGGCGGCGGCGGCGGCGGCGATGGTGGTGGTGGTGGCGGTGGACGCAGCGATGGTGTGGTGGGAGTCGAAGGGGAAACGCTCTGTGGCTTCGGAGTAAATGGAGGGGTGTTAGAGGGGTACGAGGAAGGGCGAGACGTAGTCGACGGTGCTGCGGCCTGACAGACACCGAACGCGCGTTCAGTCTGCCGCTGAACCTGGAATGCGTCGGGTGTTGTGTCGACGAGCGTCGCCGTCGCCGTCGCCGTCGCCGTCGCGACATGAAGGAGATTGTCCTCTGATCGCTCCGATTCCTAGTCGCGATCGCGCGCGGAGGCGACGCTGAACACCGAAGGACACACGTCCTTCTCTCTTTCGTTCCGTCCGGATTCGCGTCGGAGTTTGAAGTGACACGCACCCCGGCGACTTTCGCAACGACGCGCATTGACGTTTCTCATCTGCCGAGCTCGACTATAGAGAGAACTCGACGGGAACTCGGCCAACGGCATAGCCTGTCCCTCTCGCCGCTTATCCCTCGCCGGATCTCTCTCCGTCCTCGCTACTCCGACTTGCTCCCCGCTTCCCCCTCGTATACCGCGTGAATCCCCTCTGCTTTTCCGACCGTGAGACAAATTCATCAGAGGGTGGAGATCCCTCTGATATGCGAGACGGTGGATCTCGGGGGTGATAAATCGACGGTCGCATCTGATGGGAAGATCGAGAAATCACCGCGGGCCGGGGTGGACGCGCAACGGCGACGCGATCGCGCGAGATGATTTCGGGGGAGTCAAGGTCGAAGCCGTCTAGACTGCTGCTGCCGGCTATATATCTCGACGTCATTCAACGTCTGCGAGACGGCGCGCGCGCACGCCAGCCGACTTTCCGATAATACTGACTGAACGAGAGTGCACACCAAGCGAGCGAGACTCGCGCGTCTCTCTCTTCCTCTCTCTCCCGGAAATCTCTGGGAATCTCTACGAGGGAATCTCGCTGCAGCGAGGCGACAGGGGACGGTCTGCCGGAGGGGGAGAGAGAGAGAGAGAGAGAGAGAGAGAGAGAGAGAGAGAGATGAGAGAGAGAGAGAGAGAGAGAGAGAGAGAGAGAGAGAGAGAGAGAGAGAGAAACTTCCTCCTCTTCCTCCCCTCCTCTTGCAGCGATATACGGTGGCAGGGAAGGGGATAACACGACGGCGGAGTCGCGCTGCTGCTCCCATTAGACGCAGGCCGTTAAACGACCGTAACGCTTATGGTCAAGTGGGATCGCTGACGGAGCGTGGAGCACCGGATACAATCGAATTAAGTGGGAACGGGGTCGCTTCCTCCTAACGGGCCCCGCCGATCGATCGTCGTCGTCGTCGTCGTCGTCGTCGTCGGTGGATCAAGCTATGGGAGTACCGAGTGCTCCACGGCAGTGTTAATTGTCGCGATATCAGTCAAATGTCGAGTCTTCGTGTACTCCATCCTCCAACCGAAACGGTGCTCCGTTGTGAAGAATAATAGTATCGGTGTGGTTTGTCGTGACGACGACGACGACAAGGGCGAGAAGAACTGTTCGTGGAAATCACGGTGGGCGAAAGTGTGTTGCCAGTTGTTGTGTGGTGCGTTTATGTCAACTCGTCGAGACCGGCCGACGTCGACGGTCACGAGTGGTTGTTTCCGACGGCACGCCGACGACAACCTGGCGGTTCCTCCGTTCAAATGAAGCTGAGGCGTCGCTACATGCAGACGCTCGGCGTCTCCGTGAAACAGCTGCGCAGGAAATTACTCGAGCTGGGCGCGCGAATCCTCCACGTCCAGGGGTCGAAACCGCGCGACATGGCACTAGTGGTACGTGTGTGTGTGTGTGTGTGTGTGTGTCAAGAATGTGTGCTGTCTCTTATTTATTCTCCTCCGTCGATGCATCCTCGTTCGTCGCGTCGATTTAACTTCGCACGTGCGACGATGCAACGATCGTGGAAAAATGTCACGTCGCCGTGGAAGATATTTTAAAGGAGGCCACGTATAGTCTTTGCGTTATTCGTGGAATTGTAAATTTCACTTTCACGCATTGTCAAAGGTTTTTTTTATGTAGAAATCAAAATCGATATAATGAATACATTCTACATCAGGAGATGCGAATGACACAGTGGAATACGAATCGTTACGTTCTTGTTGTTTGTTAACGATAAAGATGAAATAGATCACTTGTGTCTCTTGTTGGAAAGCATTTGATATCTGTGAATTAAAAATTCGGTGGACCGTTATAAATGGTGTATATGTTTATCTATGATATTTATATTAGTAGAATATAAGATGTCTTTCTCTCTGTGAACATCTATCTGAAATATCTTTTGCTTGTATATGTCCGAAAATTGGATTCGGTCTTTCCTCAGCTTTTCTCAGAATTTATTCGCGCTTTTTCAATCTCCATTATTAAACATCCTGTTAATCAAGTCTCAAATGAAATTTCCGTTCAAGTGAAACTAATTTAAAGTTAACCAGAGACAAGTTCCTGCTCATCCGTTTAGTAGACACTTGAAACTTAATTTTATGAAAACTGTTCAATTTCCAATGTAAATATCTTCAATAAAATCAAACTGGTAGGATCGATTGAATAAGCTGTCATTAAAATTTCAGATGGTTATGTTGGAGTGCTCTATATATCGTACAACGTTTTCGCGTCCATCACTAACTTAAGCAGATATTAACGAGAAAATACAATATAAGTCGAGCAATTGAAATGTCTTCAATCCGTCTGTTATCGATGCGCGGCTACTTTATTTTCTAAAAACGAACCGATGCATATTGACGACCGGCCGCGAATAATTAATTCCGTGATTTTAGGCGAAAGTATATTAGGCGAGATTTTATTTCACCTGACAGCCCCGATACATGTACACAGTAGCGAAAATGAATTACGACGGACGTACGATGCGCCACGTCGGTGAAAGTGTTTTATGTGACTAGTATGTGAAAAAAAAAATCAATTCCGCCGAGGTAACCCTCGGTGTGCTGCACCTTGCACAGGTGATTTACATACGTAGCATGAAGGGGTAATCGGTAGGACCCGGTGCGCATTCGACATAGTTTTGAATTTCAAAGCTGGTGAAATTTAATAATGCGGTTTTCCTGCAGTTTTTCGGTAGATTTCAGACTTTATGATAAGATTTTTGACTCTTATAAAAATTCTGCTGTTACTTTTTTATTATGTATAATCTTAATAGTTCACAAATCTTCATACGCTTCTTCTCTGATATCTTTCAGTCTTATTAATATTTAATAGCATTTTAATATTTAATATATTAACGTTTATTATACAGAATTAGCGAATCTCTTCTTTTAAATGTTATAATCAGTTTATCAATTACATTTTTTTATGTTTACATTTCTCTTATCTCTACAAAGCAAAGATATATATAGGTATAGCTCTTAAATATAAAAGTCTAAAAATAGATGACCTTATTTTTTATATAAGAATAGATTTTAAAGTTTAATGAAAATAAAATTTGGAGAAACAGAAAAGGGGAAACACAGTGTATAACAGCTTTATTTAGATTGTTTACGATTTTCTTGTTTAAATAATAGTAAATAGCGAATAATACAATATATACAATTTTACCATATATAAATGCAGATGAGAATTCTTTATATTTTGAAGAACTAAGTAGTACTAGGTGTCCGGACGGTATCTGGAACACCGAGACCTATTCCGTCGTTTCCCTCTTTCTCCCTGCTTGGGAGGACGAGTGGAGCGAGTGTCGCGACGACGATGAAGATCAGAGAGACGAAACGGGGGTGGAAAGGCGCGCTCGGGAACGCTCGCGTCGAACTCGGAGCGAGAGGTGGTATAATAAAAGAAGCGGGGAACGCGAAAGAGGCCGTTACACTGTCTGCCTTGTATGTTTCTTCCGTCTGGCCCAGAATGCGAGGCAGGCTTTCACTGCAGTTTTCTCGTCTGGGTCGGCAGCTCCGTTCCCCCGCGTCGTTCTCTCTCTCTCTCTCTCTCTCTCTTTTTCTTGCACACCAGTGGAAGTAGCCTCTCTTTTCTGTCGCCTACTACGAAAGAAACAGCGAGCGAACGTGCACGTCGGTCGATACCTTCACGTGGCATTTTTAAATGTCATCAGCCTGCAATTTCCGAGGTCGATCTCGCGAGCACGAGTCTCGAAGATGGCAGCCGTTCATTAGTAGGTTCTGTGTGACACGCTGACCTTTAACTTTCAGAGAGAAATCCTTTCAGAGAAAAAGAGAGAAGGTACCGTAAAATTAAAAAAATCTTTTAAGTTTCATGAATTTTCTTTTAAATGTGGTCACATGAACTGCTCCATAATATCAAAAGCTTGTTATAAAATTTATAGCATTTAAAATTAACTGGGAGAAACGAGGCCGTCCATTTACGCTTGACGCTTACATCGCCGAAATACTTAATATTTTATGTTAGATCTTCATCATTCGATGAGAAGCGCTCGAATTATATTTAATTCATAATTAGATTTTTTGTAAAGAATAATTTAATTCAATTAGCTTTATGAAATATTAAAGTAAATCTAGGATGATTTTGACCATTAATTGTGTAAAAAAAGCTACATAAAATTGTTAGAGAATGTACTGAATACTCTTAAATTTCTTTAAGTGGATTAATTAAAAACAGTGAAAAATATTGCAAATTATTGAGATGATATATTTTATTATAATATTGTTTTTGATGTGACGATATAAAAATATTAAATTATGTCCGTGAATATTTTCTTATATTTTCCTTGTATGTCGCAATTTTTTCCTCTGCGTATAAAAAAGACAATATATTCTGGATCTAGATTCTGTGTATGTATACTGCCTAGATCTAGTATTGCTTCAACACGAACAAATTGAAAAGTGTTCCGTTCTGTCGAAGATCATAAAATGGTTTTAAAGACGTATCGTTTTATGAACCTTCTTTTCAACTAGGACTCCGTTTATCCATGACTCTACGATAGTGATAAAAACGTCAACTCCGTTGTAGTGTCCTCGACTTCGCTTTACGCGATAAGCAAGTCGTAAATATATTACGCGAATTCGATTTATTATCGCATACACAAGAAAAGTTCAACAAATGTGTACACTGTACGTTTATCAAAGTATAGAAACTATAAATAGATTTTTCTTACGATCGTAGAATTAGTTTTTTAACAAAATTGCTCTTCCTCTCTTTTTTTAAGACAAATTTTTTTTCGGTAATAATTCGTTACAATAATAAATGTCGTGTATTAAAAATAATAATGCAAACATCTTTTTATTTTGCTTTACATCACATTTTAATTATAAAATACATTTAATTTGTAAAAATAATTATTAGTATTAAGAAACGACGTAAGTATATTTAAAATTGTATTGTATCTGTATATTTTTAATGTCGAGAGATACGTTCTGCGAATCGCAAATATACAAGATTGCATTTATAACGTGAAAAAATATCGTACGCTGAAACTGTCGGGGCTTTCTCCGTTCTTCAGAAAAAACTTTTCGGTAGAGATTCGTTTAGCGGTTTAGCTGAATCTAACGGTTGCTCTAATCGCACTCGTTAGTATAGCGAACACGGCACGCTCGTTAACATGCGTTGGCTCGTAAAGCACGGCACGCTGCGCGCATAATTCTTGGCTATATATGCAAGTACTAGCGCATATTTAACCACTAACATATAAGACTGTACAATACGGGAATATCTTTTATACTCATGAATATAATTTAGTTTGCAAATAACTGAAATTGTAAATAATGGATAAAATTGGATTTATTATTTATACCTTCTTAAATAATACTCTCTAATTTTTTGCAATTAACGAGTCATCAGTTAAATGTGCAAACAACTGCAGATACATTCATAAAGAAAAATACATACTTAAAGAAGAAATTGAATACCTTGAATTTATTGTAGAATTACTTATTAAAGTTATCGTAGACTGAATTATTATCGTTAATTTTATAACATTTTGCTGTATTACTTTAATTAATATAACTCGAACAAAACTTATTATGTAATAGAATTTAGTGTCTAATATTTATATTTTACGGAATTAATACACACAAAGTATTGATCGCAACGTATCATCTTTTAAACGATATAGATAGATAAAATTTTTTAATATTCTGGAGCGAGTCTTCTAAGTCCCTAACAGTATATAAGAAAAGAAAAAAAAAAAATAAAAAGCAGCGATAAATACAAAGAAAATGAAAAAATAATATGAAGAAAATAAAAAAGAAAACGGATAAAAAGCAGCAATGTTACAAAAAACATGAGAAAATAATATGTAAATAAAATAATAATAAAGGAAAAAATAAAGTGTGCAGGGTTTGTCTCAGATCAGCAACAGTGGGTTTCTTGTAAGCAGAGTAAACAAGTAAGAATGCGGAGAATGTAATATCTCCTGCTTTATTTTTACACTTTTAGATAGATTTCTCCGAAGAGAAACCCCATGTGTCAGGTCATCATCCTGAAAAAAACGCCACGCTAGCACGTAGCCGCCCACGTATAATGGGCAAATATTAGCTCGAGTCGAAAATTAGGTCGATGGTTGACAGTATTCTTTTTTTGTCTTTTTTGTTTTCTTTTTTTTTTTTTATTTGATTGAACCGTCTGGACGCGTGGGAAACGAGCAGCGAACGAACGTTTACACAAGTGTGTCTCGTACGAGGATGATTCGCTCGATCACATCTCATATATTGTATATCGAAGATATGATATTGAAGCATCTAAATCCCGTCGAGCCTGGTAAAATAAATATCTGAACAGCAGGCGCGAGCTCTCTTCTCTTCGTTTTTCTGTCTGACACGCGATATGTTATTTTATCCTCGTTTTATCTGAATGTAGG